CCCTATCTCTCATAATATAAAAAAATCAGCTCAAAATCGATAAAACATTTAAACGTGAGACCTAGACCTTCTGCTAGAAGAAAACGTAATGAAAACAGTTCAGGACTAGATACATATTTTATGACTAAATCTTCAAAACACAGGCAACAAAAATAGGAATATACAAATGAGACCGTAGTAAACTAAAACGTTTCTGCACAGCATAGAAAACAATCAACAAAGTGAAGAGACAACTTGTTAAATGTGAAAAAATATTTGCAAACTACTCATTTGACAAGAGACTAATATCCAGAATATACAAAGAACTCAAACAACTCAGCAACAACAAAAATCCAAACGACTTTATTAAAAAGTGGGCAAATGATCTGAATAGAGATTTCTCAAAAGATGACATGCAAATTACCAAGAAATATATTTAAAAATGATCAATATAACTAATCAGGTAAATGCAAATCAAAACCAAAATGAGATACCATCTCACCACAATTAAAATGGCTTTTTTCCAAAGAACACAAAAAAATAAAACTACCATACAATCCAGCAATGTCACTACAAAGTACTTATCTGAAAAAAAGGATTCAGTATATCAAAGGGATACCCATACCCTTATGTTTATTGTAGCACTATTCACAATGGCCAAAATATGGATTCCATCTAAATGTTTATCAATGGATGAATTAATAAGAAAAATGGTATATCTACACAATGAAGCACAACGATTCTGTCGTTTGCAGCAACATGAATGGAACTGGAAGTCATTAAGTGAAATAAGTCAGACACAGAAAAATAAATGCTGCAATGTCTCACTCATATGCAGAAGCTAAAATAATTGATCTCATGGAGAAGAAAGATAATTATCAGAGTCTATAAAAGGAAGTAGGGGATGAAAAGAGGTTGACTAAAAACAGATAGTTAAGTAGAAAGAGTAAGTTCTAGCGTTTGAGATCACATTAGAGTGACTATAGCTTCAAAAATTGATTGTATATTTCAAAATAGTTAGAAAAAAAAATTTGAAATGTTCCCAACACAGAAAATGTTCAATGTTAGAAGAGATGGATATCCTACATACCACGACTTGATAATTATACATTGTATGCATGTATCAAAATATCAAATCTATAATCATCTATCAATAACATAATTTTAGACAAGAAGAAAACAGCAAAAAATTTAAGGCTCATGTACTACAAGTTAACTTCCTCACAATCAAAATAAATCACATTATATATCATTCACTAACTTTATGTGATATTAAATTAAATGTAGGCATTAAGGTTACTGTAGTCCTATTAGAATATGTTCATTAAGCATCTTAATGGTCAAACTGTGAAACAAAGTCATTTATTTGTTCTCCCCTTCCATATATATATATATATATATGTACTGTTTATATAGTAATTAATAAAACAAATATGAATGCAAAAAGTGAATGAATTTTCTATTATTTTAGAATTGGCTATTGTTCAGATTTGCAATTCTGCTTCATTTTAAAATAATTTATACTTATTTAATTTAAAATTTAAATAAAATGTATTTAATTTAAAATAAAGTAATTTTAGCCATTTTAAGGAAATTTATGAAATCTGCCTCAAAACATCTGGAGAAATGATCTAAACCTTTAAAAGGACACTTCTAAATGGATAATCTTTAATACAATTGGCTTGAAGAGTGATGTTGTTATTTTTTATCATTATGAACATCATTTATTTCTAGACATGGTCTGCCACGCACTACTTTCAGTTATATGAGAAGTAGAGGCAAGATAAGAATAGAAATAAAAAAGTCAAGAGCCTGTCACAGTTTTATATTAAAGAGTTAAATCTAAAGACAGACTTGTAAGACAGAGGATGGAATTCTTAATCTGAGCAATGACCACCGTTTTCATTGCATAAAAGTCTGAATAGAATAGATAGGCAGTTGATGAGTGTAATTTTTTTCTGGAAATTGTAATATCTGTAATTGCAATATCTATCCTTTCCCCACACATTCACATATCTACCATTAAAGAAGGTAGACTAGGCATAAGAAATCATATTTTTTAGGAAAAACAAGGTAAGAGCCACACTGACTGTTGTGAGACAGTATCTCATTGTGGTTTTGATTTGCATTTCTCTAATAATCAGTGATGTTGAGCTTTCTTTCTTGTGATTGTTGGCCATATGTATGTCTTCTTTTGAAAAGTGTTCATGTCCTTTGCTCACTTTTTTATTGGGTTGTTTGTTACTGTTATTGTAAATTAGTGTAAGTTCCTTAAAGATGCTGGATATTAGAAAGGTCAGATTGGCTATTATTAAAAAGTCAAAAAATAACAGATGCTGGTGATGTTGTGGAGAAAAAGGAACACTATTTTTTGTTTTTAAATTTTTTTCAAGAGATAGTCTTGCTCTGTCATCCAGGCTGGAGTGCAGTGGTGTGACCTCAGCTCACTGCAACCTCCACCTCCCGGGTTTGAGAAATTCTCCTTCCTCAGCCTCCTGAGTAGCTGGGATTACAGGAGCCTACCACCATGCCTGGCTAATTTTTGTACTTTTAGCAAAGATGGGGTTAGTAGAGACAGCAGAAGAAGGAACACTTATACACGTTGGTGGGAGTGTAAATGAATTTAGCCATTGTGGAAGAGAGTAGGGCGATTCCTCAAAGATCTAAAGACAGAACTACTATTTGACCCAGCAATCTCATTATCTCATACATATGGAAAGGAATATAAACTATTCTATTATAAAGACACATGCACATGTATGTTCATTGAAACACTATTCACAAGAGCAAAGACATGGAATCAATCTAAATGTGCATCAGTGATAGACTGGATAAAGAAAATGTGGTATATATACACCGTGGAATACTATGCAGCCATAAAAAAGAACACGATCATGTCCTTTGCAGAAACATGAATGGAGCTGGAGGCTATCTTCTTTAGCAAACTAACACAGAAACAGAAAATAAAATACTGCATGTTCTCACTTATAAGTGGGAGCTAAATGATGGAACGCATGGACACATAGAGAGAAACCACAGATATTGGGGCCTATCAGAGGGTGGATATTGGGAGTGGGAATGACTGTAACTCATCCTGCCATGCTCTTGTGAGACTAAAAGCCTACTGGAACTTCCAAGTGCTTCATGTACCACTATAGGCCTTAAACAAAACTATATGTGGTCACATGCACATCTAGTTTAAATGGGCACCCCTGGGCTTGTGCCTGCTGAATGGCCTGCTTTTAGTCTCAACTGTGAAAAGGAGCTGAGCTCCTATGTTTATTAATAAAGAAGCAGTTAGTAACTGCATATACTGCCCTTCAGCCTTACAAGAGCGTGGCAGGACAAGTTCAGTCATCTTGCAGCTGACTTGCCCGATAGTGGGGAGGGTACATTCATGAGTAATGACCTCCCAGAGTGCAAAGGCACAGACATCCACCTTGCAAAGTGGGGTGGCTACTTAGAACAGTGGAGTACGCTGAGTACAAGTCCCTTAGCAGCAGAGTTATAAGAGGGCTTGGGACCTGTAGTCCTAATGCAAGATAAGGCCATAGGGCCTAAGGCCATGAGGACTGAGGCACCCCTAGAGCCTGAGCCATCACCATTTAAGGAAGAGCATCCCCACTTTCCTAATGGGGCATGGAACACAAATGGGTCTAGCCAGGGTGCTACTGCTGCCTGGACTGCTGTTGCAGTTCAACTTAATACTGACACCATATGGTTTGAAACCAGGTGTAGACGGAGGAGCTAATAAGCTGAACTCAGGGCAGTGTAAATGGTAATCACCAAAGACATAATCTGCGCCAATATGGTAATCTGCACTGACTGCTGGGCACTTTATCAAAGCTAATGTATGTCACAGGCCTGTGTGCACAGAGCCTATGTATAAGGCCTGTGTCAAACCCATATGTACGTATCTGGCCTGTGTGTGTATACGTATCGGGCCAGGCTTATGTGTATGTATCAGGCCAGACTTATGTGTTAAGCCTATGTATATGTATCGGACCTATGCACCCAAAGGCTATATGTTAGGCTTATGTGTAAAGCCTATGTGTATGTATTGAGCCTGTGTGCCCAAAGCTTATGTGTTGGACATGTGTGTCCAGAGCCTATGTGCCAAACTTGTGTATTGGGCCTGTGTGCTCAAAACCTATGTCTCCCTCAGCCTGGGGGCAGGAATGTAAGGTACATGGTTGTGCTTTGGTCAAGGAATAGGCTGAGGTAAGCATGTGGGCCGGGATGACTCAGCGAGTTTAGAGTGCAGGCGCATACTCCACTTGTTATATAATCTGTTTGTGTAAACTTATACTTGGCTCTGAGCCACTATTGTTTGAATAGGTATAACTGCCCTGACACTATATAGGCTCAGTTCTCACTGGTGCCCAGAGAGAGAGTAACACTGCTTACCCCTGTAGAGCTGGTCACCTTGAAGGTAGGCAGAGGGAAGCCAGGAACTGACTTGTGCACAGAGGGAAAGAATTAAGCTGCTGACCCTGTAGTTGGCCTTGCAGGTCAGGGAGGGCGGCTGCAAGTTTGGGGGCAGCAGGAGCCACGGAACTGGCTGCTGAGAGGAGCCACAGAGCCAGAGCAGATAGCGGAGGTAAATGCAGACAGTGTGAGATAGCTGCTAATGAGAGAGCTGCTGAATAAAGCCGTATTTCACCAGCCTATGGCCCCCTAAGTGTTCTTTCAGCTATCTGCCCATCCACTCACTCCCCTCGGACCTCAGCTGGGGCTACAATCTGACCCTGAACCTGACATTTGGCATTGTTGTGAGCCTAACAGTGAATAAAGTTTCTATTTTATATTTTTGTATTAAAATTCTTAATTGCTTGAGTCAAAAGGCAAAGAAAACCATTATGTAAACAATATTTAAGAGTCTTCTGAGTACAAGAACAAAGGAAGATATACAATAGTTTTTAAGCGTCTTCAGTAATAGTAATTCCAAATATTGTAGAGATTGTTGGAATTTAGAGTTTATTTTAATATATAAAGTATGGAATATATAATATATAATATATACAGAATATTTAATATATAAAGTATGGAATTTAGACTTTATTTTGATATGTAAAATATGGCTTTATTCAGTAGCTCTCTCAGCAGCTCTCTCACAGTGTCCACATTTATCTCGGCTATCTGCTATATACATTGCATATATAAATTCATAATTTTGATATTTATAACCACATTAGTCCTTACATAAAACAATACATTTGTTGTATTTAGTGATATACCTAAAAAAATTAGTCTCAGCAAAGGTACTTTCCCCAGATTATGCAGATGGTAATTGAAAGACAAAATTAAATCCAACTTTTTTCTCCTTGCATGCATTGTTGTTTTCAGCATATTTGTTGCCTCATTACACCTCATCTAATTCACAAGAAAATTAGAAATCTTATACTATTTATTTAGTTTTTAGTATTTCATAGGGTTTTTAAAAATACATTAGCACAAAGTAGAGTTTGAGTACAACAAAAGACAGAGTCAAATAACATTTGGATACATGAAGACTAATATTCTTTGGCAATAATGGTAATATCCTCTCATCCATTCAAGTTGGGAGTCTCAAATAATTTCATTACTCACATTGTTCACATTCAGTTTTCTCCTCAATTTTACCACCAACGTCAACTTAATCAGTTCCTGCCTTTCAATTCCAATTGCTTTCACTTGACTCATTACTGTTCTGCACCACTACAAGGGCATTAGCCTCTGAAGTCAGAATTAACAAAGGGAAGGCATCAAAAGGTGTACGGAAGTCAAATCTGTTACAGATGTATTGTGTTAAGTTGATGTGCCTTCTGTTAAGTAAACGTGTATCCTGTTAAGTTGAATGAGCCTCCCATTAGCTTACGTGTTCTGATGTGTCCTGATAGGATGATAAATACCACTTGAGCCTTGAATATCAGCTAGGGGAAAGTTGCTTGGCACATCACTGGAACTCTTGCCCTTAGTTCAAAGATCTCTGAGACTTGGGGGATATTAGGAATTAATATAACAAAGATGCATTTATTCTAAGTTTCAAGTGCTGTGTCCTAAGATTAGTAAACTGTGGAATCATGCAGTCATATTCTAAAGAGTAGTAAATGATGAAACTGTAATATGTGTAGAACAACAAACAGACTCCATTTGTAACAAGCTTTTAATTTGTCTCCTACTGGGCAATTTCTAATCCTACACATAGCTGATAATAGAGTCTATTTGTAGCTACCGGACACAGAATGACAAGTAAGACATGGTCTCTGCTTTGAAGAATATAGAGATGGATGGAGACTATACACTTCCAACAATCGAAATGCAATGTGACATGTGCTGCAATAGAACTACGAACCAATTTACTTACCTGTGAGTAACCCAATTGATCTTATTGTGTAAGGTCACAGAAAAGAAATCCATAAAAGATCATGGAGAGGTCAATTTTTCATTGTAATTATTATAACTGTTATGACTTGTGAAACAATGAAAAGTGGTGAAATATGTTAGAAAGATGTAAAATATACATGCTAAAATTTATGTGTCAATAGTATAGCATATTCAAAGACAATAGAGAAGTTCCCTGTTCCTGGAGCCTTATGGATAGAAAAGAGAAAGGGGAAAAGAAATGGAGAGTAAGTATGAGCTCCTGAAAGGGTATATTGCTGCGGGTAGTAGAATATCATTATAGACTGTTACGGAATATCATGAATAGTTGTTTGTATTAAAGGGATAACACTATCACTAATTAAGAGAACTCAGGGAGATGTGCAGAGATATTAAAAGCAAGTAAATGGCTTAGGAGTCTCCAGTAATAGTTACAGAGTTGAGTAAGAATGGGGAAAATAATTGACACATTACTTTGTGGAATATTGTTAGGATGTATTCTTTAGGAGATACTGAATACATCCAGGATGATATTCACGTTCCAGATTTGTTTTAATTGAATGCATGAGAGTAAAACTAATTGAGAGTTAACGTAGAAAGCCGAGGTTAGGGAACTGATTATATGGTCAATTTTAGAAAGATGCAGCTTGAAATGTTTAGAGAATTTTTTTTTTCAAATCTTTTCTGTTGTAATAATGTTAGGTTTACAGAAAAGTCACAGGATATTACGAAGTTTTCATATACCTTTCACTCAGCTTCCCCTAATATAAACATATGTTACTAATTGTATTCATTTTCTATTACTTTGAAAGCAAAGTACCACAAATTTAATGGCTTATACCAACACAAATTTATTAACTTATAGTTCACATGTCCAAAATGGGTCTCACTAGGCCAACATCACATTATTACCAGAGTTACTAACCTTTCTGTAGTCTCTAGGGGATAATCCAAATTCTTGTTTTGCCAGCTTGTAGACAACCACCTGCCATTCTTGGCTTGTGGTCCCCTTTCATCTTCAAAGAGAGCAAGGGCCAGTTGCGTTACTCTCATCAACAGTTTCTCATAACACATTAATCTGGCATATTGTATTTTACTTTGTTTTGCCACATTTGAGGAACACGGGATTACATTGGGTCCAACTGGGTAAACCAAGATCATCTACCAATTTAATGCCAATGTATTAGCGAATCTGAATTCTATTTGCTACCTTAATTCCCTTTGTCATGTAACTTCATATATTTACACAAGGTTCCAGGGATTAAGACAGAGATATTTTTGGAGGGTAATTATTCGGCCTACTGTGGTACTTTGGTCAAAAGGAAGTTTTTGCATTTCACCAATTTTTCTATTATGGCTTTTCAGCACTATTTTATGTACAGCAGGTGAAGCCTCATTGGTACCCTGCCCAAACATGTTTGGCTACAATATTTTTTGTAAAATGAATTTCAAATTATAGGATGGCTATTCACAATTCTCATCTTCTATGGACTCTGAGAGCTGTGATGTCCTAGGAGAACACGCAATATAAAGATAATCAAAACTCTCTTATTTTAAAACATAATAATTCTACATAATGAGTTAATTTGGGACTTTCTTTTCTTTATGGTGTTCATTTTTTTTTAACCGATAGGAAACACTCATCACTACTTTTATTGTTCCACTTGAATTCATCATTTTTCTCTGGCTTACTCAATAGCTGCCTAACAAATCTTCCTACTAAAATGATTTCCCATCACACTATGTCTTCCAAACAGTGGCTCAAAGTATCTTTTTTAATGTATTGTGTTCTTTCCCCAATCTTCCAATGGCTTCCATTCACAGTAAGAATAAAATTGTACCCTTCTGTCCTGAACTGAAAGACTGAACACGATCTTGTTCACCTTCCAGACCTTATCTTTCACCATCATCTGCCTGGTTTATTCTGTTCCTCAAGTTCACCAAAAGCATGCTTCCCTCAAGTTTTCTACCTGCTATTTCTTCTGCTTGGAATATTCTTCCTCTAGGTATGTATAGGCTTGCTCCTTACTCCTTACACTTTCTGTTCCAAAGTCACCTTTTTATAAGATTGTGAAAAAAAAAAGATCTAAAATTAAAAGCCCTACAAAAAATACCAGTATTTTCTTTCCTCTTCCCTTTAGTAAAATATTTAGTGCTGTTTGAATATTTGCTTTAAATATTAGTTGCAATTAAAGCTAATTACGTTTAATCAACATAATAGTTAATATTTTCAATCATTTGAAGGTTTCTAGATGTCAAACATTTTTCTAAGCATTTTAGATGTATTGAATAATTTGTTTCCAGAAATTCTCTAAGCTAGACATCATTTTTATCTTCATTCTACAGATGAGTAAACTGAGGCTCAAAAATATAGATTTTTTTTTCCTGAGGCTAGCCATTTAATGGAAATGCCATCCAACCTCACTGGGATGCTTCTGGATTACATAATGCTCACCCTTGTCTTATGTAGTCTCTGATATAGGCATTTTTAAAAAACAACTTTAAGAACTCTTTCAAAAATATATTTAAAACAAGTTATCTCTATAGCCGCTTCTACCGGGATATTTGGGTAAATGAAACTTAGGACACTTCTAAGCTCTACTTTCATTTCTTTCAACATCTGAAACCTCTGCTTCATGCAATTACTTTTACCCAACCCAATTCTGGCTCTTTTATTTGTACTCTCAATTAATTTCAGACTTTCTGTCTGAAAGTCCCTTGTGTGTAATTCTTTGTCTAATTTTTATGTCCAATACAGGTAATTTGTGTTCTATGGCTTTTGTCTTTCTCTGAAGCTTACGACTTGCATAAACAATGTACACTACTTTCTTTTTATGTCTTCTTATCTCCATTAATTACATTCGCACCACCTGAAAGGAATATTCTATATGTCTCTGTTATAGACTAAACTGTGTCCCACAAAGCTTCTTATGTTGACGTCCTAACTCCCAATGCTAATGTATGGAGATGGGACTTATAAAGATATATCTAAGTTTAAATGAGGCCATAATTTGGGGGCCCTAAATTTATGAAACTGGTGTCTATATATGAATAAGAAGATACTGAGAGATTTCTATGTGAATGCACGGAAAACAGGTCACATAAAGGTACAGTGAGAAGGCAGCCATCTCCACAGCAGAAAGAGAAGCCTCACCAAAACCAAATCAGATGCCGGCTTAATTTTGAACTTCTAGCTTCCAGAACAGTGAGAAAATTAATTTTTTCTTGTTTAAGTCATCCAGTCTGTGATTTTGTTATGGCAGTCTGAGCAGACTACAAAACACTATTGAATTAAATTGTTGTATCTTGGGTAGCCAGAAACCCAGGAATCTATATTTAGACAACATTCTACATGTGGGTCCACACCTCTTCTGAAATCCCTGCTGCCTTTTGAGATTTCAAAAGTGAGTAAGTCCCATGCCGATAATAGCACCCCCTGTTATAACAAAAGTAGATATTGTGTATTACCTAATAATATAAGCAAAAGAACTTATATTCGCATTGGCAAATTTTTTCAGCTGTCCCCAGATACAGCTCCTTGCTGTTTGGTGCACAACTGTGAGAATTGACTTATAAAGGTAGCCCTTGCTGAAGCTGAGCATCAAGTTGCTAAAGTACAACCAATTTGTAACCACCCCCTCTCCTTTAGCAGTTACGTTTATACCCAGATTTTTATATCTTTTGTTGATATTACATCCCACAAGATGGCACATGACAGGAAATAGTTATAATCTTAGCAACATAGACGCTTGTGAGTCATAGGTACAGTTTCCATCCCTATGAATTGTTATATCCAAAGGAATTAAACCTCAGGCAACCCCTAACTAATTTTTCATTTTAAAAAGTACCAAAAGAGCACATAATTTCTCTAGGTTAGACAGGAAAAAGTTAGATCCTGTTCGTTGAATGAACATGTTGGCAGAAATGATGGTTAATCTAATGACCTGTGTTATAACTTCATAAAAAGTAAATTGTAGACTACATTTGAGAAATATTTAAAAACCCATGCATGATTGGAAAAAAGATCTAATGTGGGTTATATTCTTTTTTTTTTTTTTTTTGGACAGAGTCTCATTCTGTCACCTAGACTAGAGTGCAGTGACACAATCTCTGCTTACTGCAACCTCCGCCTCTTGGGTTCAAGTGATTCTCCTGCCTCAGCCTCCTGAGTAGCTGGGATTACAGTCACGTGCCACCCCTCCTGGCTAATTTTTGTATTTTTGGTAGAGACAGGGTTTCACCATGTTGGTCAGGCTAGTCTCGAACTCCTGACCTTGTGATCCGCCTGCCTCAGCCTCCTGAAGTGCTGGGATTACAGGTGTGAGCCACCATGCCCAGCGAATGTGAGTTACATTCTTAAATGTTCTATTTTTATCTTCCTCAAGGGAAATAATTATTTTCACTCAAAACTATATTGTTCGGTAGTTATTGGCTTAAATTTATCCTCTTAGTGACAAGATAATTTCTTTACTCATTAAACTGAAGTGTTCTTAGCACTTAATATCCAAACTGAGAATACCTGCAAGCATGCTGTTTCAGTCATATTAGATTTCTCGACACCATCGGACAGGCCTTTCTAATGTAGCACCAAAATACATTACATAGCATGTGGCTCATTTTAAGTCAGCCTTTTGTATTTGAATGACACTTTGTACCCTGATGAAACAAAACATATCCTAACATTACTATAAAATATCTCTAATAGAAAATACATTTCTTGGCTCTTAGAAAAAACCTGTGACACATTTCCTAAAACTGTGTTTATGTGGTCAGTTGTATCCAAGTACAGTTTCACTAAGATTCACTATGGCAGTTCACCAAGGCCTCTATGAATAAATGCAGAGGAAAAATCATCACAAAACTTTCCTAGAGTCTAAGTTGGTCAGAAGAGAGATAACTCAACACAAGTATGATTTAGACAAAGTGTGTTTAGCATATTCATTATATCTCTGTACCCTTTCGCCTTACAGAATCTGCATCTATCCTCTATGAACTCCTATCTTCCTCATGTTCTTTGTATGGATGAAGTAGACATGAAAAGTCACTAGTATTTCTGTTTGATTTGGAATATCTTCCTAAGAAAAATTGAAGGGAACTTCTGGCTAATAAGGCTGAATTATTAGTCCATTTAACTATCCTTCTTTTCAAGTCTGATCTGAATATAAAAATGCAAATAAAACTGGAGGGGGAAGAGGCCTGGCATTGTCAAAAGAAGCAGAGGGGGGAAAAATGTCTGAAACACCAAAAGCAATGTCAACAAAAGCCAAAATTGACAAATAGGATCTAATTAAACTAAAGAGCTTCTGCACAGCAAAAGAAACTGCCAGTAGAGTGAACAGGAGACTTACAGAATGGGAGAAAATTTTTGCAATCTACTCATCTGACAAAGGGCTAATATCCAGAACCTACAAAGAACTCAATCAAATTTATAAGAAAAGAAAAAAAAACATCAAAAAGTGGGCAAAGGGTATGAACAGACACTTCTCAAAAGAAGACGTTTATGCAGCCAACAAACACATGAAAAAATGCTCATCATCACTCGCCATCAGAGAAATACAAATCGAAACCACAGTGAGATACCATCTCACATCAGTTAGAATGACAATCATTAAAAAGTCAGGAAACAACAGGTGCCGGAGAGGATGTGGAGAAATAGGAACACTTTTACACTGTTGGTGGGACTGTAAACTAGTTCAACCATTGTGGAAAACAGTGTGGTGATTCCTCAAGGATCTAGAACTAGAAATACCATTTGACCCAGCCATCCCATTACTGGGGATATACCCAAAGGATTATAAGTCATGCTGCTATGAAGACACATGCACACATATGTTTATTGCAGCACTATTCACAATAGCAAAGACTTGGAATCAACCCAAATGTCCATCAGTGACAGACTGGATTAAGAAAATGTGGCACATATACCCATGGAATACTATGCAGCCATAAAAAAGGATGAGTTCATGTCCATTATAGGGACATGGATGCAGTTGGAAACCATCATTCGCAGCAAACTATTGCAAGAACAGAAAAACAAATACCGCATGTTCTCACTCATAGGTGGGAATTGAACAATGAGATCACTTGGACACAGGAAGGGGAACATCACACACCAGGTCCTATTGTGGGGAGGGGGTGGGGAGAGGGATAGCATTAGGAGATATACCTAACGTAAATGACGAGTTAATGGGTGCAGTACACCAACATGGCACATATATACATATGTAACAAACCTGCACATTGTTCACATGTACCCTAGAACTTAAAGTATAATTAAAAAAAAAAAAAAAAAAAAAAACAGAAGCAGAGGAAAAGAGCAGCAGAGGAAAACAGAGAAATCCATGCAGGAGAACTTTTGAAAACTTTGTTCTAGATATTGTGTAGCTACTACTGGGTTAAGAAAAAAGCTAATGAACCAATAAATCCCCATAATTTTTTTTTTTTGTTTTTTTTTGTTTTTTTTTTTTTTGAGGTGGAGTCTTGCTCTGTCGCCCAGGCTGGAGTGCAGTGGCACTATCTCGGCTCACTGCAAGCTCCGCCTCCTGGGTTCACACCATTCTCCTGCCTCAGCCTCCCGAGTAGCTGGGACTACAGGCACCTGCCACCACGCCCGGCTAATTTTTTTGTATTTTTAGTAGAGATGGGGTTTCACCGTGTTAGCCAGGATGGTCTCGATCTCCTGACCTCGTGATCCACCCACCTCGGCCTCCCAAAGTGCTGGGATTACAGGCTTGAGCCACCGCGCCCGGCCTAATTCCCCATAATTAAAAATAGCTTGCCTGATAGGATATACCCATTCCAAAGTATCCTTTCTTGTCCAGTTCTAACTCTAAGGGACAAGGATCAACAGCAAGGGTATAGAATTTATCGTGATCTATGTAAGGGTTCCTGGTAACACTTCCACCTAGCCTAAATTTGATCCAACTATAC